ATGGAAACGCGCTCAGTGAGCTCAAAAGTGGTCATGAGACTAGAGTACGGTTCTGCGAGGCTTTGAAGAGTCCGCAGTAGGAAAGGAACAAACAGGAACGCCTTTCAATCATAATTGGAACCGCAGGGGCCTGACCATCGTCCGTGTTCAAGTACTCCTTTTCCCATAACCATCATTCTTCGAGAGTGTCTCCTTATTCCTATAAAAGAATAATACGTATGTAAAATATCATCGAGTTATGACATATATCAAATAATATTCGTAAGAAGCATATTGCATATTTAAAAAAAAATAATTTGCAAATGCTATTATTTGCAAATATTTAATCAATTTGGATATTTAGAGTTCATATAAACATGTGTTCGGCTTAGTTTCCGAAATATAGGGTGTTTTCAAAAAAATTTAAACGTGTAATGATAATCTGTCTATTTGAATAAAAGAAATACAGCTTGAACTAATTAAAAACAGAAAAACAAAAATATACTTACTTCAGTTCTTCTGATGAAATAAAATTAGATAAATTGTTGAAAAGGTCCACCTTCCGCCACGATACACTCTTCGATCCTTCTTCTCAAAGATTGACGTATGTACACGCTCGTGAATGGTAACTAACGTGAAGCAAGATGTATATATATATATATATATATATACAGAGAGATATCCCCGATGCAATTTACCACGATGTCAAACATTCACCTGTTCATAATGTTCCTGAATATTCACTAAGCCGTTTAGGACACATGAACTCTTTCACTTGAAATAAACCAAAAAGATTGTCCCCTTGAATATGATAATGTACTTAAGAAACACCCTATATTTGTCACCCCATATATTTGTCCTTTACTTTAATGTATGACCTGAACCGTTGCAAATTATATAAAATAAAAAGACTCATACTCTAATATTTATGAATTTTAAATAGATAAGTATTAAATTATTTCATAAATTCAGATCAATGCGAGTTGAAAAAAACACGAATCGCTTTTTCGTGCGATTCTTTTTGTAATATTTCAAAACAATATTTTCAGTTAAAATTTACCAGCTTTGTGTTTCTCTATAAAAGTGGAACGGATTGAACGCTGCTTCATACGGAATCTTTACTTCAACTGTTATATTCACACACGTGCGATTGCATATCAATGTATTTTATTCGCGCTTGTCACAATTGTTAACAATTTCTTTTATTCTTCGTATTTTTTATTTGCATTTAGTTACTTATCAGAATGAGCCAAGATTACGCTATTATAGATAGCTATTATAGATGTGCTAGACAAATTCTTAATCAGGCACAACCGTCATATTCATTTAATGTGTTGTTTAGTAATATAATTTATAAACATACATATTATTTTATTCTAATTATATATTAATTAAATTTATTCTAATTATATATTAATATATATTAATTAGTAAATTAAATTTTTCAGCGTTGTATTAAAATTTATTGACATTTAATTTATTTATTTAATCGATCTTTATGCGGATGAAATAATTCTCCATTGACGAAATCCTATTTATGCGACACAAATGTATAAGGAAAGAAACAAAATAGGACGCGCGGGATGTCCCGAGATGAGATCTTGAATCCCACGAGGGAGCAAATGTCGCAAATTGCCGATAACGATCCGTCAGCGGGAGAGATGATTCGCAACTAATTCTATTCGAATCGCCCCGCGTTCTTATTATCATTAATTTGCCTTCATCCAAGATAAGATAAATGCAATAAACTGTTTCCCTTCGGTATTCCGTTTGTATACATGTCACGTAAAGTATTTCGATAAAGAAGCATTCTAAATCACACTATAATTATGGTATTTATAAATGATGTCATTGTTTAGAAATTGTCCTAAAGATATTTTATTATCGTCTTAACTTTAATGGAATAGGATTTGATAGATACATCTACATATATATAATAATATAAATAATTATATTGTACAATTCTCTCTCTCTCTC